ATTAGGCCTATATGTAAAAGTTAGGACTCACTGAGTGATTAGTTATTTATTAAGAAATGCGTCAGGTTTTTTCCTCTTTGAACGTGTTTATGTAACATTTGCGCTCCGATAGTTTGCTGTTTAAATTAACGTTAGCATTAAGTTATTGCCAATGACCACAAAATATAGCTAATTTGTTATTGATAAATAGCAATTTGTGAAAATGTTCAGTCAAGTTTCAGTGTGGTTTAGTAAGGTTTAAAATAAAAGCGGTCCTGTTAGGCCTAACATGATAATGGAAGTCAATAGAAAAATTGTCTTATAATTGTAAAATGGACCAAAAATATAGGTATAGCGATTCTGTACAATATAGAGCTGAAACTCAACAACAAACATTTATAAATCAACAATTTTTTGTTGTCTAATAGTCATTTGATATTATTAATTGTAATGTAACTGACTTCAATAACCTCAATAACAATAGCGCTGTTACAGAGACAGTTTTCAGCTCTTCTGGGTTCAGTTCAAAAGAAGAAGAGACCTTTACTCTTAATAACACACTGGACAACAAAAATGACAGCATTTAATTATAGCAATGTGCTAAGGGCACAATGTAATCTCTGCAATCGTCACTTCAGCCACAGTACTTCATTTATATAAAATTTATACAATAGATTTAAAGCAAACATAATTACAGTATTTAGTTTTAAGTTTTTACAGTTTGGTTTTCAAAGATTAACTATGATAGCTCTGTTTTGATAATTTTAACAGTTAAAAGAATAGTTCACACAAAGATTTAGTTGTCATCAATTACTCTTCCTTTATTTATTTAATTTAGTTCTTCTGTTGAACACAAAATAATATATTTTGAAGAAACCTGAAAACCTGTAATAATTGACGTAGAAGTATTTGTTTTTCTTTCTTTATAAGGGGGGTATTCCAGAGTGTGTTATAGGGGGGTATTCCAGAAAGCTGAGTTAACTTACCATCTGCTAAACCCTAAACTCTCAGTTGATTGATCTAAAACTTGCTTACCGCGATTATGTTGGTTCCAAAACAGCTGATAAGATAACAGCGGGTTAATGTGCAGGCACGGCGCATACCTGAAAGCATTTTTAGTAGGTCACCAAACTCATGAGTCACCATAGAAAGTCAAAGTGAGAAAAAAGGGCAAAACACTTTACAGAGGTGGAACTGGAAGTTTTAATTACAGATTACACATCTGCACCAATGAAGAAAAGAAATATAGAATAATAAATAGATAAGAAAAGAAAAAATAAATGAGAAAGCTCATTCATTAAAGAGCCCATATTATGGGTTTTTGAAAATGCCCTTCCATGTAGTGTGTAACACAGCTCGCAGTGAACTATCCAGCTAAGGCTTAAATCTGTAAGTGTACAGTGTTTAAAACTGTTTATTCATCTATAAAAAAGTCGACTCATAGTGCTTCAAACGAGTCATCTTGATAACGAGTCATTAGGTGTTTCGCCATGACGTGACAACGAAACCAAGTTATTCACATGCACGCGCAAACCCGGGAGATTTAAAACCTGTGGCCCCGCCCTCTAACACAGAAACACACACAAAAACACACACACACACAAACATGCCAGTCGATTGAAGTCACACTGCTGATGGATATTATTGAGTCTCTACCCAAAGATGAAACCTCAGCATTATAACCCAGCCTTAAACAGTTGGAAACTACTGGAAAACTTCTGGAAATTACATGCTACAAAGAATAGCCTATTTTATCGGCCGTTTGTTAAAGGAAGGATTAGTAAAGAGTGATGGACATGTCAGGACATGGTTTCTTCCTCCATTTCTCAAGTGTAAGTACTTGCGATTAAAGTTGTTGCCTCGTTTACTTTAGCTTGCAAATGTATTTAGTTGTGATTTGTTACCTATAAACGCATGTACTGTATCAGGTTAACTCGCTATATTCTCATATCACGTGCAAAGCCACGTTAAAAACACGACGCGTGCCGCTTTGTTTACGTTTCGTGGAGGAGGGTAATGTGTGTGTGTGTGTGTGTGTGTATGCGTCTGGAGAAGGGTAAAGCCGAGCTCAGACTGCATGATTTTCAAAGTAGTCGTGTCACAGATGTTTTCACACTGCTTGACTATCTGGGCTAGCGTTTCGTCGCTGCTTTCCATTTCCTAGCATGCCATCTCGCAAGCATCGGCAACTCATCGGCAATTCTCTTTTAGATCGCGTCTTTGATAGTTCATACTGTGTGATTGTCACTCACGTGCACGAGCACCGATTTGCCTGTGATTTCAGGCATTTGTCAGCGATTTCTCAAAACCTGTCGGCGAGCCAAAATCGGGACTAAAATCACGCAGTCTGAACTAGGCATTATGTTTGTGTGTGTGTGCGTGTTGTCGTCCGGAGGAGGGTTATGTGTGTGTGTGTGTCTGTGAAAGGAGCAGATATGGCAAGCCGTTTTAACTTTTATTCCTTATCAGGATATGTATTCTTCATATCAACAATTCAGTTTTTGATATCAACAATTAACATTCTTGATATCAACAATTACATTTTTGATATCAACAATTACATTTTTGATATCGACAATTCAATTTTCACTAGTTAAAAGTCACCATCGGCTGCCATTCAAATTTAATTGTTGATATCAAGAACTGAGTTTTTACTAGTGAAAATGAAATTCTTGATATCAATAATTTAATTGTTGATATGAAAAATGTAATTGTTGATATCAATAATTTAATTGTTGATATCAAGAATTACATTGTTGATATGAATAAATCATTTTCAACTAGTAAAGATGCTCATTTTTGATATCAACAATTCTTTTTTCACTAGTGAAAATGTTAATTTCTGATATCATGAATGTAATTGTTACTAGTGAAATTAGTAATTTTAGATATCAAAAATTAATTCCCTAATTGTTGATATCAGAAATAAAATTTTAGATATCAGAAATAACAATTTTAACGTGTTAAAATATAATTGCTGATATCAAGAATTAACATTTCAACTAGTATCAAAATAAGTCTTGATATCAGGAATTGACATTTTTACTAGTAACAATATAATTATTGATATCAATTTACCTTTGCAACTAGAGAAAATATAATTATTGATATCTACAATAACATTTTAACTAGTAAAAATACTCTAGCAGATATCTAGAATTGTAATTTTTACACGTAGAAATAGCTATGGTAATGAGCTCATTAATATTCATGTGATTTGGTTTTCTCACAATTCCATTGGGCCAGACCAGGAACAAAGATGGTGGAAGCAGATCCACAAAAACGACTGTTGTCTAGTCAAAGACCAGTTTTTAATTTACAGTTTTTTTTTTTTTTTATCTACAATCATAACAATAAATGTGTTTAACCTTATGTAAGAATCAGCTCTTTGGTTTAAATCATGTTTAAACTTTGGGGATTCGAATCAAAGATTCGAACATGATTCACATAGAATTATTTAAAGCTTACACTTAACTTTAGTATTTGTCCAGCAAATAGAACGTTTAATGTAAAGCAATTCTGTATTATATTATTACGTGGCCAACAATAACAATATAAAAACAGTATCTAATTATTTAATGAGCAAGGTAGCAGTATCTGAAGCTGAGGCATTAACTTATAAAGCACACAACACACCAACACGGATCTTAAAACGAAACAAAAGTTTATTGCTACTCTATAACACAAAGTACTAATCTACGTAAAACAAACAAATGCACATACATACACACACGCACAAGCAGTTTGAGGAGAGTTTTGGCTGAGTGGATTTAACTTCTAGCCTTTGCTAAGTTCTTAGCATTGCAACCTGAGAGAAACCATAAAAGCAGAGAATTTTGCTATTCTTTACTACTTAAACATAATTCACACCAGATTCAGTAATGGATAGAAACCTTGTTTATGCTACTTGCGTTCTGATGTAATTTTGGTTTCCTCGACTGGTCCAAAGGGAAATCCCGGCGAAGCTGATTGGTCAGTGTAGCAACTTCAGTGACGTGATGGAATTCCCTTGTCGGTGAAGAGGGGTTTCCTTAGTCGGTTGCTAGGGATACGGATGTTGGACAAGGCGGCGTTCGAAGTCCTTCCTGGGTTCCTGTAGTTATGATGAGTTTCAGAGTTTGGATGTGTTGACTCGATGGCTTGTTGTTGAAGCGGTTGCACAAGCAGATCGGGGGTCGAGCCGGCAGCAAGTGAAGGTCGCGGTCTGCTCCGTGATGTAACGAGGCTTCCGGCGAGGCGATGTTACGGCCACAGCACGAGAAGAGCAACGTCCGGGCAGCGACGGCGGTGACGACTGGCAAAGATGACCGGCAAAAGACGACGATGAAATTCCTTAGTTCAAAGTTTATAGGCTTTGGTAGAGGTTGGGTCTACACAATGCTTGTCCAATCAGATAAGGTGCGGGGTGGAGTCACACCCGCAATTCTGCCCTCTAGGAGGCCGGGTTGACACCTGGTGTGGGTGCTGCTTTGATAGCATAGTGGTTAAAATAAAGTCTCATAACATGGACACTTTTCATAGTATGGTTTCTTCATATAAACCAATGCATTTGAAACGTTCCTAGCTTTCAATTAATACCAAACATGAAGTATTTCACAAACATTCTGTAGATTTCATTTGTCACTGAGGGCTATTACTCAAGAACTATCTATAACAGTTTTGTTAAACACATGGAACATGTACACAAAAACCTACAGAAACATAAAGCAAACGTACATTACTCAAATAAACTTTTTTACTTAAATGTCCATTAAACTTTGGAAGCGTTTCTGATCGCTTCTGTGTCTGCCTGAGAATGTGTATTCCTTGCAGACGCCAAAGGGCACGCGAACCAAAAGGTACTTCTCAAAAACCGGTTTGGTGGGTTTTTCGATTGTAGAGCCTTTTATTGTTTTAAGGTGTAAAGTTAATTAACACGCAACTGTGATGTTGACTGGCTAGTCATCCTGTGAATTGCCTTTTGCTTGGTGCCTGTGGATTGCTTTGAAAATTAAATCAAAGTTCAGACATGTAGGCACCAACCAATCTTTTAAGGATAACATGGTCTGTGACTTGTTCGGTTCTAGAACGATCCGTTGACTCCCCACATCCCCCATTTGGATGGTGATGTTCCTGGCATGAACATCGGCAGACACTGGAACAAGAGGCATAGGTAGAGAGAGAACAGACACACAAGACACAAACCACATTTCCATTCCATAGACTGAGTTCTGGTGCAGGTTTTAGCTTAAATTGTTCGGGTTAAGAACACAAGGTGTAGTGTAACATTGCCTGAAATAATTCAAATTTAGTTATTTAGCTAGTTTATTTCATTGCGAGTATGTAGTGGCGCTAGCTTCAACTTAAATGAGCAATAATTCTGCAGCAATTGACACTAATTTGGGAGAAGGAGTCAATCCTATTTTTTTAGGCCCTGTGCATGAATTTGCAGGAGTTCCATGTAGAGGGGACTGGAACTGCAAATTAGTTAGGGAGAGAGAGAGAGAAAGGAAATGAAGAGGCACAGTGATGCAACAAAACAAGGTAGGTTAAAAACCAGCAAAACAGTGTTGCAAATGTGGAGTGGATCCTCTCTACTAGAAGTTGTTCTAGCAGTGCTGTAGAGGAGAAAGTATTAGTGTTGTGTTTAACTAGGTGTTTCCCTAGAATGTCAAAGATTATGTTAGTGTGTAGTTGATCTGTGTCAAGTTGTGGTCCTCCCCCATTTGTTGTTCAATGATGATGGAGCAGTCAAATGTCTATCCAGTAACGGAGGTAGCGGAGTTTGGCATGGGTCAGGAAGGGTTTCAGGACTGAACTGAGGTTTGTCGGAGGAGTGGCAGACGACCCGAACGGCACTTTTGGGAGCCTGAGGGCTTTCACCTGCAAGTGTTTGTTGGTTCAGGTGGTTGTTGCTTCTCCACTCGGCGACTAGTCAGGCTAAATCTGCTTTTCCCGTTTCCTGTCCTCCTCTATGCATTTGAGAAACTCTTTCATCATCAATTTCACCAGTTCTTGAGGGTTAAATCCCGGTGGGGCATTTTCCTCTTGCTGGGATTGAGTCTGAGCGTTGTCAGGGTGGAAGTTTTTGGAGTACCTTCGTTGACTCCTTGGACTTGATGATCCAGGGTTTTGATGTCTTCCCTTAGATGGTGACCAGCTTTTGTTTGACCCCCATTGGTTTCTTTCCTGGTGGTGTTCAGGTGAGCGTCGTTGTCTACGCGGTCCATCCCAGTGACTGTTCTTCTGTTTGAATCTCGTGTCAGCGTAGGAGTTCCGTTGTCTATTAGACGAAGACGCATTCCATGCTGGGGATAGTGGTCTCACGCTGTTTGGGCGTTGGGCACCCTCTAGTGCCAGTTCTGGATGGGTGTTAAAGTCAAAAACTGTTGCAGTTTTAGTGTTTTTCTCTAACACCATCTTTTGTTTGTCGTGGGCTTTCTGTGTCAAATCTCGCAATTGCTGGATGCTCATTGTTCGTGGGCATGCGAGTACTCCGAGATGTTGGCTTACTGCAGGATGGAGGTTTCTCAGGAAGAGAATCTTAAAGTTCAGGTCTTCTTCCATATTCGGTTCGTTGCGAGTTCCGAAAAAGGCTTGCCTGAGTCGGTTGTAGTAAGCATGTGGAGACTCGTTGCGAGCTTGTTTTGTCTCCAGAGCACCTAACAGTCCTTGATCTGATTCAGGGTTTGCAAACTCTCTGATGAGGGCTTCTTGGAGCAAGCGGTAATCATTCTTTACCCGAGCCGGTTGTCGGTCCAGGAAGCTGCGCACCTCAGTGCTGGATGTGGCTTGAAGCAAATATAGTCTTTCTTTGTCAGAGACATTGGGTCTCATTTCCAGGTGGAAATCAATGTCTTGCAAATAAGCGTGGACCTCCAAACCACCTGACACACTTGGAGTAAACTTGCCAATGTTTCTGGCCAGCTTGTCAAGGTCTTTGAGGTCTCGACTGTATGACGTTCTGTGACTGGCTATCACAGGCTCTCGTCGCTGTGGGGTAAGGTAAGGCTCTTCAGAAGGTGTTGGCGAAGATCTTCGGCGTGGTTTCTCACCTCTTTCAATAGGTGAGAGCTCAGGGACAGGGGATAGTACCTTCATCCACCTCACTTGGTTGTTCCAGACGTTCCTGAGCCTCTAGCTCTAGCTGCTCGGTGCGGGCTTGCAGGCGTGTCAGCTTGTGTTGGAGTTGGGAGGCGTGTCTGTCACTCAATTTGAGGGTGGCTATGAGTGTGTGACTCAAAGTACCAGTGATTTTGGCCAGCTCCTTGTGGTTGAAGCTTTGACTTGGGTCTTGCTTCATGATGCTGTCTATGTTCTCATCCAATTGGTTTTGCGTCAGGGGCTGCAGTGTTTCGGCAGCTTTAGGGAGGAGACTGCCTGTTACAACGCTCAGCCATGTTTCCAGGTCCTTCCAGTGGCCAACAGGATCTTTGGAGTGAGCCATCTTTTGCGGCGGGGGGGAGGACTTAGAATTTAACTGACACAGACCTTGAAGAGCGATAGAGAGGAGAAAGAAAAAACAAGGTAGAACAAAGCAAACAGACAAGGAAAAATGTTAATGTGCAATGTTCTAATGTTGAGTGAAGTGTGGTTCTCTGGAACTGTGGCCCCCTGGTGGGTACGCGTGTCTAACTGGTAGTCTCTGTGGAAAGAGTCAGTAGCACAGACACAGTGAGAGAACAAAGAAAAACAAAAGTGATAAGGAGACTAAGGATTAGGGTGAAAATCTGTAGTTTCCACTTTCCTAGAGAGAGGGTTCCTTTAGCTTTTGTTAAATAAAAGAATAAGATTTCTAAACACCAGGACTGTGGTTGCTGTTAAACTTTCTTCTGAAGTGACAGAAAGTAGGGCAACAATAACAGTATTGGCTTCTGAATAGGATTGACTCCGTACACCAAATAAATTTTTTCTGGATGCGTGTTTAGAATTGGATCTAACGACGCCTATCCTCTTGTTGACCTGATGAGTGAGAAAGGAGGGGTGAGATCAGACAATTTTAACAATTAAAAGTGTTCAAGTGTCCCAAACATCTATTAAATGTTTCTAAAATTCTCTGCTTTTTGACTCTCACAAGCACAATCCTTAAACCAGCATCAATAGTCCAGTAAAAAGAAGATAGTTAGTTGAAAGAGATAACAAAGGAGTTAGTTTTCTCTTAGCATTAGGTGTAATTAAGGATGTCAAAACAATGGCACTGTTGAGTTGATACTCAAAAAGGGTTGGTTTTATTGTGTTATATAGTAACCACTTAGCCTACGTATTAGAAAAATCTGAATTTTCCTTTTGAAGTTGGCTAATTGGAGGGCTACTGTTCTAAGACTAGGCTCAATGATGGCTTAGGTTGGTACCATTACAGCTCACTGGGCTGCACTGTCCAATTGCATCAATGAAGCAGCAGGGGGAGCACTGTCTGTTAGCAGGCTTAAAATAAAATAAATTTAATAGACTAAATTCAATTTTGAATTGAACTTAACTTTAAATCTGAAACGGGGTAATAACTTTTTAAAGTTATCTTTAAGATTGATAAGAACACTTATGACTAAATTTAATTATTAATTATTGCTAAAATGATAGAGCCATGCATAAATAAACCATTAATGAAATTAAAATTTCAAAACACTGAAGTTGGTTAGAGTAACATTTAATGCAGTTTATCATTAAATTAAACAATTATAATTTATTTAATCAGTGAGTCTTATCCGTATAAATCAACAATTATAGGAAATGGGTGTTCCTAGATGTTGATGAATGGAAAAAGTATTTATAATTGAATAAGTCAGAGAGCGTTAATTTATAGTAATGAAAACAAAACTATAATTCATCACTTATAAAACCAACAGCTTATGTGAGTTCAAACTGATCAAATTCAACAGGCCAAGTACAGCAGGAAAAACAAAAATTAAATAAAATAATAGTGATTAAACTCAGCAGTTAGATCGTGCACACTTTTATTAACTTTGCATTTGTCAACTTTTCCAAGGTGAGTAAAGAGAAACAACTGAGAAGCAAGAGTTATTTCAAGCATCATATATGCAATGCATTTAAGACCATTAAATGCTACGTGCTATCTATTAGCCTTCGCTGATACTGGAAATGCATAGACTTCAATGCAAACGCGTTAGCGTTAGTTTAGCTTAGCTTCACGCTATGCTCTTTGTTTACAATTCAAGCTGGCGCTGGCGTACTGCACATGCGCACTTGAATGTAATTCCGGCAAGTCTCTCTGTACTTCCAGACCAAGGTTGCTGCTATGGCAATGACCACAAAGTAGAATAATAGCAAATTTCACAGTATCACTTGAGATGACGTCGCATCTCACACTGTTCAAGCAAAAAGCACTAGTTAGATTTTAAATCTTATCAGTACTGAACCATCTCAACTCATGAAAGTGAGATAAAATTAATCAACAGGATTTCTGAGATTAATACAAATCGTGACAGAGATATGGGGGATCTCAGCACTCTGTGTTAAGTCTGTTTAGACTGCAAACACAACCGTGGATTCAAACCACAATTTTAATTGATCAATTTCAAAACTTCTTCTATAAACTACGCTAGGCAGCTCTCTCTGAGCTCTGCGTTTTAAATAATTTACTAAGTATTAGCAAATTACAGGGCAACAAGAATTTAGTTAGCTATGCTAAATCAGTTACCAGGAGAAAACACAGCTGAGTTTCCAGCCGGGAATCGCGGCGTACAAAATCATACTGTGAAAGCCTTATATAACCTTATGAGATAAGCACAAAGGAATACGCTTTGTCTTTCTCTACATGCGCTTTAGAGCGGCTTACAGTTTGTCTCGGCGGACAACTTAAATGAAGTTTTACTTTCTTAACAACACTAAATGCAGTCAAGCAATAAAACAAATGGTACCACAATGAAATTGTGCAGTAGCAAAACTTTTGTTCCCTCTAATCTATTCTTTCCGGACAAAAATAGAAAAGATTAACAACGTGATTTCTGGGTTTTGTGCTTTAAAAGTTAGATCTGCTTGCCTGCATTCTCCACCACTATGTAAGAATCAGCTCTTTGGTTTAAATCATGTTTAAACTTTGGGGATTCGAATCAAAGATTCGAACATGATTCACATAGAATTATTTAAAGCTTACACTTAACTTTAGTATTTGTCCAGCAAATAGAACGTTTAGTGTAAAGCAATTCTGTATTATATTATTACGTGGCCAACAATAACAATATAAAAACAGTATCTAATTATTTAATGAGCAAGGTAGCAGTATCTGAAGCTGAGGCATTAACTTATAAAGCACACAACACACCAACACGGATCTTAAAACGAAACAAAAGTTTATTGCTACTCTATAACACAAAGTACTAATCTACGTAAAACAAACAAATGCACATACATACACACACGCACAAGCAGTTTGAGGAGAGTTTTGGCTGAGTGGATTTAACTTCTAGCCTTTGCTAAGTTTTTAGCATTGCAACCTGAGAGAAACCATAAAAGCAGAGAATTTTGCTATTCTTTACTACTTAAACATAATTCACACCAGATTCAGTAATGGGTAGAAACCTTGTTTATGCTACTTGCGTTCTGATGTAATTTTGGTTTCCTCGACTGGTCCAAAGGGAAATCCCGGCGAAGCTGATTGGTCAGCGTAGCAACTTCAGTGACGTGATGGAAATCCCTTGTCGGTGAAGAGGGGTTTCCTTAGTTGGTTGCTAGGGATACGGATGTTGGACAAGGCGGCATTCGAAGTCCTTCCTGGGTTCCTGTAGTTATGATGAGTTTCAGAGTTTGGATGTGTAGACCCGATGGCTTGTTATTGAAGCGGTTGCACAAGCAGATCGGGGGTCGAGCCGGCAGCAAGTGAAGGTCGCGGTCTGCTCCGTGACGTAACGAGGCTTCCGGCGAGGCGATGTAACGGCCACAGCACGAGAAGAGCAACGTCTGGGCAGCGACGGCGGTGACGACTGGCAAAGATGACCGGCAAAAGACGACGATGAAATTCCTTAGTTCAAAGTTTATAGGCTTTGGTAGAGGTTGGGTCTACACAATGCTTGTCCAATCAGATAAGGTGCGGGGTGGAGTCACACCCGCAATTCTGCCCTCTAGGAGGCCGGGTTGACACCTGGTGTGGGTGCTGCTTTGATAGCATAGTGATTAAAATAAAGTCTCATAACATGGACACTTTTCATAGTATGGTTTCTTCATATAAACCAATGCATTTGAAACGTTCCTAGCTTTCAATTAATACCAAACATGAAGTATTTCACAAACATTCTGTAGATTTCATTTGTCACTGAGGGCTATTACTCAAGAGCTATCTATAACAGTTTTGTTAAACACATGGAACATGTACACACAAAAACCTACAGAAACATAAAGCAAACGTACATTACTCAAATAAACTGTTTTACTTAAATGTCCATTAAACTTTGGAAGCGTTTCTGATCACTTCTGTGTCTGCCTGAGAATGTGTATTCCTTGCAGACGCCAAAGGGCACGCGAACCAAAAGGTACTTCTCAAAAACCGGTTTGGTGGGTTTTTCATTTGTAGAGCCTTTTATTGTTTTAAGGTGTAAAGTTAATTAACACGCAACTGTGATGTTGACTGGCTAGTCATCCTGTGGATTGCCTTTTGCTGGGTGCCTGTGGATTGCTTTGAAAATTAAATCAAAGTTCAGACATGTAGGCACCAACCAATCTTTTAAGGATAACATGGTCTGTGACTTGTTCGGTTCTGGAACGATCCGTTGACTCCCCACACTTAAGACCAACAACTATTAAATTATAAAACAAGTATTTTAAAAATAAAATAAGTAAATGCTTTATTTGTGACCTGCCTTTATCATAGTGTTATATTGACAAAACAATATATCAGATTGGAATAGACAGAGTATATTATTACTCAAGAGATAAA